CTGAGTTTTTGAGTGCTTTTATTATGAAAGGGTATTGGATTATGTCAAATGCCTTTTTTGTATCAGTTGATATGATCGTGTGGTTTTTTGTTGTTGTTTTTCTACTTATGTGGTGTATTACACTGATTGATTTTCTAATGCTGAACCACACCTGCTTTTTGGAATAAATCCCACTTGGTTATGGGGTAAAATCCTTTTAATATGCTGTTGGATTTAGCTTACTATTATTTTGTTAAAGATTTTTACATCTATATTCTTAAGGGATATTGGTCTATAGTTTTCTTTTCTTGTGGTGTCTCTGGCACTGGTATCAAAGTAATGCTAGCTTCATAGAATAAGTTAGAAAGTATTCCCTCCTCTTCTATTTTTTGGAAAAGTGTTAAGAAGGGTTGGTTCCGATCCTTCTTTAAATGTTTGGCAGCATTCCCTAGTGAAGCCATCTGGTCCAGGGCTTTTTTTTTTGTTTGGTGGTTGGGAGGTGGGGGGCGTTGATTACTGATTCACTCTTCACTTGTTACGAGTCTGATGAGCTCTTCTATTTTTTCTTGAGTAATCTATATGTTTCTAGGAATCTGCATTCATTTCATTAGATAATCTGTCAAATTATCCAATTTGTTGGTGTACAATTATTCACAGTGTCCTCACTTTCATTTCTGATTTTAATTATTTGCGTCTTCTCTTTTTTTTTGCCAGTCTAGCCAAAGGTTTGTTGATTTTATTGATCTTTTCAAAAAGCCAGCTTCTGGTTTTGTTGATTCTCTCTTTTATTTATTCCTGCTCTGGCTTTCGTTATTTCCTTTCTTCTGGTGGCTTTAGGCTTAGTTTGCTCTTCTTTTTCTAGTTCTTCAAGTTGTAGAGTTAGGCTACTGATTTAAGATCTTTATAGCTTTTAATGTAGGCTTTATTGCTATAAATTTTCCTCTGAGCACTGCCTTCATTGCATCTCGTAAGTTTTGATATGCTGTGCTTTCATTTTCTTTCAACTCTAGGTATTTTCTGATTTCTCCCTTGGCCCACTGGTTGTTTAATCATGTTTTTAATTTCCACATATCTGTGTATTTTCCAGTTTCCCTTCTGTTATTAATTTCTAGTTTCATTCCATTGTGGTCGGAGAAGATACTTCATACGATTTCAGTGTTTTTAAATACGGTATACTGAGATTTGTTTTGTGACCTAACATGTGGTGTACCCTGGAGAATGAACCATGTGCACTGGAGAAGAATGTGTATTGTTCTGATGATGGGTGGAGTGCTCTATATATGTCTAGTAGGTCTAGTTGATTTACAGAGTTACTCAAATCTTCTATTTTCTTACTGATCTTCTTTCTAGAAGTTCTGTCCATTAGTGGTGTACTGAAGTCTCCAACTATTATCATAGAACTGTCTATTTCTCCCTTCAATTCTGTCAGTATTTGCTTCATGTATCTTTTGGTTCTGGTATTAGGTACATAAATGTACTTATGAAGTGTTATATGTTCCTGTTGAATTGACCCTTATATCAGTACATAATGTCCTTCTTTGTCTCTTGTACCACATTTTGATATAGTCTATTCTGCCTGATAATAATATAGTTACTCCAGCTCTTTTTGCTACTATTTGCATGGAATTGTTTTTTCCATCCTTTCACTTTCAACCTATTTGTGCCTTTGGGTCTAAAATGTTTCTCTTGTAGACAGCATAAGATGGCTCACGTGGGCTTTTTTGTTTGTTTGTTTCTTTGCCTATTTTGCCAATCTCTGCCTTTTCACTGGAAAGTTTAATCCATTTACATTTAAAATAATTACTGGTAAGGACTTACTTCTGCCTTTTTGTTTTTGTGTGTGTCTTATGTACTGCTTTTATCCCTCATTTCCTTCAATGCTGTCTTCTTTTGTGTTTAGTTGATTTTTTTTTTAAGTGAGCCATTTTGAATCCCTTCTCATTTCCTTTTTTGTCTACTTTTTGGATATTTACTTTGTGGTTACCATAGGGATTACACTGAGCACTCTAACATTACAACAATCTAGTTCAAATTGATTCAGTTGAACTTCAATAGCATATGAAGACTATTCTTATACCATTCCTCTTCCCCTTCATATCACTGTCACAAAGTACAACTTCATACATTATTGGCTCAATAAGATAAACTTATACTTCTTTTTTACGCATTTGTCATTTTAAATCACACAGGGGACAACAATAATTAGAGTTAGAAACCAAAAATACTGTACAACTGGCCTTGATATTTGCCCTGGCCTTGATATTTGCCCATGAAATTACCTTTACTGGAGATCTTTTTTCCTTTGTATAACTTCGAGCTACTGTTTACTAACCCTTCCTTTCAATCTAATGGACTTCAGTATTTCTTGTAGGACAATGAACTCCCTCAGTTTTTATTTATCTAGGAATGTCTTAATTTCACCCTCATTTTTGAAGGGCAGTTTTTCCAGATATAGAATTCTTTGACAACATTTCTTTCTTTTCAGTACTTTATGTCATTCCATTGCCTTCTGGCCTCCAACATTTCTGATAATCTTATTGTGGATCCCTTGTGAAAATTCACTTCTCACTTTCAGTTTCTCTTTTTATCTCTGGTTTTCAAGAATCTGGTTACAATGTATCTTGCTGTGGATCTCCTTAGGTTTTTCCTACTTAAGAGTTCATTGAATTTCTTGGATTTATAGTTTCATGTCCTTCAAATCTGGAAAGTTTTCTGTCATTAATTCTTTCAATATTCTTTCTGTTCCTTTCTCTCTCTTCTCCTGGGATTTCCATAATGCATATGGTGGTTCTCTTGATGCTCTCCCACAATTCCATTAGGCTAAGTTTTCTTTATTCTTTCTCCTGTTGCTCTTCAGACTTAAAAATTTTGATTGCCTTATCCTTACTGATTCTTCTGCCAGCTCAGATCTGCTGCTGAATATCTCCACTGAATTTTTTCATTTCAGTTATTGTATTTTTCAGTTCTAATATTTCTGTTTGGTTCATTTTTATAGTTTCTATCTCTATTGAAATTCTCATTTTTGTTCCTGTATTGTTTTCCATATTTTCTTTAGTTTATTGTCCCTGTTTCTCTTTAGTTCTTTGAGCATGTTTAATATTGTTGTTTTAAAATCTAATCTGTTCGTGGGGCCCTGGTGGCACAGTGGTTAAGAGCTTGGTTGCTAACCAAAGGGTCAGCAGTTCAAATCCACCAGCCGGTTGCTCCTTGGAAACCTTATATGGCAGTTCTACTCTGTCCTATAGGGTCGCTATGAGGCAGAATCAACTCAACAAAAACAAGTTTGGTTTTGCTAATCTGTCCATTATCTAGGATTCCACAGGGACAACTTATGTCTGTTCATTTTGGTCTTTCAACTGGGCCATCCTTCCCTGTTTCTTTATATGCTTTGTGATTTTTTTTTTTGTGGAAAATGGGCCATTTGAATACTACAATGTAGTAACTCTGGAACTGATTCTTCCCCTCCTCTAGGGATTGCAGTTTTTCTTTTCAATCATTGAAGGCTGTAATAATCTCTCTGCTCAGTGACCTCCCCTATTTTTGCAAAGACTGCCCTTCAAAACAAGGTCTCTATTCTGCAGCCCATGCTCAACTAGTGCTCTAAAAAAGATTTCTTTGTAGTCCAGGGAAAAGACAAAAAGCAAAAAATAGGAAATATCTGATTCTCCCACTCCTCAGGGACTGTTGTTGTTACTTAATGAAGTATGCAGTTGACTGTTTAGTGACTTTTTCAAGCTATTTTTGTAATGTGTGTATTCTAATTCTGTTATCTCTGCAGTCAGTCAGGGGCCTGACAGAGTTTACGAAAAGAAGAGAAGAGAAGGGAAGGGAAGAAAGAAAAAGAAAAAAAAAATTTTAAAAAGCCATGCTGGCCCTTTAATGTTCTGCCAACTGGCAGAAGCTACCTCTGTGAGAGGGACGAAAACCTACAATAGTTGGCACCTCTCCCTCAGGACACTGCCAGACCAATCCAACTGTGCGACCTTAAATTCTTGAAGGACAAGGTCCCTACTGCCTGCCTTGGCACCAGTTAGCCACTCTAAGCACATGGGTTGCCATCCTCACCACCATGGCAGGGCTGAGGAATGCGGAATGGTTAGCTGGTTGGCACATGGGGCTCACCTAGGAAAGATCTGCAGCATGTCCCTTCATCAAGTACTCCCTTGGTTGGTTTAAGCGTCCGATCAGGTTCCAGAGTTCCAAAATAGTTTGTTGCAATTACTCTTCCTAGCACAACAGTTGTCTTGGTGGAGGTACTAACCTTTAGAGCTTCCTGCTCAGCCACTTTGCATGACATCCTACCCATTATTTATTTATCCTTGCAGATTACTGAAGTGCTTAAATATATGTCTAATAAAAAGGTGTAATAAACTAATTACATCCCCAGTTATTTCAAAAAGCTCATTTCTACAATGATTTGCTTAAGAATACTGAAAAGCATACTTTAAAAAAAAAAAAAAAAAAAAAGTCAAGTGTCTAAGCCAAGAATGGCAAATATTATCTTCTATATGCCAACTCTGATTGACTGACAGTATTTGCCGGGGAGCTGTGCTGAGAGAAGATCTGCGGCTGCTTTCAGGCTAAAAAAAAGTTTCATCATTGACTACCCAAGCTTAAAAGTTTAACATGGTCAGAAGAATAGGTACTGTTGCCCAAATGCCACAAAGTAAAAATAAGAAGTACAAAAGAAGTGACAATGTATGATCTAAATAATAAATAAGTAAATGTGATTAATAAGGAAAGTTATTAAAAAAGAAAGTTAAAAGTGTAACTTCATTAACGTGGCTCAAATATTTGACAAAATAATTTGAAGGGACCATGATGAAAAGAAAATCTTCAACATGAGGCTAAACAGTTAAAGAAGACAAAGAGATGGTATACAAAAAGGCAGCTGAAATAAAATATGGGCCAGCATAAGAAGTCAAAGAACAGGCGAAATGCACACAGATATTTAAAGGAAGAGGGCACAGAAGAGTGACAGGAGGTATACAATGAGGTTGTCAAAGTGACTTGTGACTTACCTCAACAGGAAGCTGATTAAACTGTGTCACTAGACCATCTGCTGATGTACCTACACCAATAAGAGCAACGACCTTTTCTGGCCGTGCAATGGCAGCATGAAGCATAAGCCATCCACCCAGGCTAGATCCAACTAGTATCTAAAAATAAAAATATGTATAGTTTTAAAAAGGAATTCCTTTTTCTTGTCCGTAAGGAGGAACGAGTAATTTAACAGATTTATGCATACGTGGCTCCCACAGACTACTATCTGGCACAAAGCAGAGTTAAATTTTGATTTTTTTTTTTTAAAAAGTATTAGTTCCATAATACAGCATGAAAATAAAAAATAAAGTTTGTACAATAAAAAGTAAAATTCTACTTACATATTATTAGAAAGTGATAATGACAGACCAATTTAAATAATATTTAATTGATTTTTAAAAAACTTGAAACAGTAAATAAATTTTCATATCTAAAGAAACAGCTCAAATTTGAGGTCACAGGCAAATATTCAACATAAATAGTCACCTGTGGTCCATCAGCTAACTCATCAATTACAGAAAGAACATCTTTTCTCCACTTCCCCACTGTACATTCTTCTAAGATACCATCCGAATTTCCAACTCCTGAGTAATCAAACCTAGAAAAAGAAAAATATATATATCTATATACCTATCTATATATTTACTTCTGATTTTTTTTTTTAGGAAGACAGATCATTTCTCATTATTACAATGCTTAAACACATAAAAATATCACAGTCAATATATATTTCAGCAAATCCTATTGGCTTAGCTTTCAAATAACTCCTATATCCACTGTTTCTCACCTCTTTCACTGCTACCAGCCTGGTCCAAGTCACTATCATCTCTCGAGTGGACTAATACAATAGTCCCCTAATGTGTCTCCACACTACCATTTTTCATTCTTGTAGTCCAGACTCCACATAGTAGAGTGATCCTTTTAAAACAAAAATCATGTCTTACACAAACCCACCAAAGGCCTTCTATAACCATTAGAATAAAATCCAAAGTCCTTACCATGCTCTGGCCTCTGACTACCTCTCTGATTTCATTTCTTACTGTTTTCTCTCTCCCTCTCATCTGTATCCTCATTTTCCTTCTTGAGTTAATGGGTTATACCATCTATAGTCCTGCCTTGAGACTTTTACATTAGCTTTTCTTCTGCATGGAATACTCTACCTCCAGATATCCACTCAGATTGCTCCCCGACTTCAATCAGGCCTTTGGTTCAAATGTTACATCCCCAGAAAAGCCTTCCTTGACCATTCAATCTAAAACTGTGCTCCGTCCATCATTCTCTATTATCTTACCCTGTTTTATATTCTTACAGCACTTACTGAGACTTGACAATATATATTTCATTATTTGTTTGTGGTGTCTCCCACAAGAGAATGGAAGCTCCATGTAGGCAGGCTTTGTTTTGTTCACCACTGCTTTCCAAGTACCAAGATCAGTACCTTGTACACGGTAAATGCTTAGTACATATTTACTGAAGGGAAGGAGAAGTCCAGAATCAAATTTGTCATCACTGACCCATCCACTTAGTTTGTTTCTCCTTTAGACGTTTTAGTTATCTAGACTCAAGGTCTGTCTGATCTGTGAATTTTACCTCTCCTTCAAGATCCTACATTAAATAAATCATGAGGTATCAAACCATTCTCACAGATTACTCCAAGCTCTAGTCACACTAAACTACTCCCTATTTCTGGATAAACCATGTCATAACTCTGTGCATGTCATTACGCTGCCTAGAATGCCTTCCTTCCTCACCCAAACTCCAAGTCATGTCACCTCCTTTGAGGAACTTTCCTTGACATTATCTGCCTGTTTAATACCAGTCATTTTTTTCCTTTGTATGTACTCAATTAACACTTTTCATATTGTGTTATAATTAAGTTTTAAACATTTGTCTCCATCTGACTAGAATGTCAGTTCCTCAAGGGCAGAATGCTTTAATTCAAGTTTTTTTTTTTTGTTTTTGTTTTTTCAGAGTACAGAACAATGCCTGTCCTGTACCATCATCACTCACTCTCATTTCACCTCTTTGCAATTCTACAAAGCTAGTATCTCGGTGCAGGTCTTTGTCATCTTAAACCTAGACTATCACAGTTAGCCTCCTAACTGGTCTCTATGATTCTATTCTGTCCCCAAACTGACCTACTTTACACCTGTAAGGTTTTATTCTTAAACATTATTTTGATATGGCACTACCTTTAATGGCTCCCTGTGACCTACAACATAAAGATTCAGTGCTTTAGCCTGTTGTTTTTTAGACCATTATATTCTGGTCATCTCAGATCTTTTATCACTTCATCAGAGGAAACTACTGCGTTTGCCAAATTGATCAACCTGCTGTTCCTAAAATATGTTCTATGTCCTCTTGCTTCTGTTTGACTCCTCATGCTATTTCCCTCATCTGGAATACCTTCTGCCATCACATTCATGGCTAATATCCTCTTTCAGAGTCCAGGTCAAATTAAACTTCTTTTGGGAAAAGCCTTCCCAGACACACTGAAAAAAATCTTTCTCTTGTGAAACTTCTATAGAGATTATTTTTATCAGTTACAGGCAACGTATTACATCCTGCTTTCTAAGACAGTTGTGTGTATACATGTGTGCACATGTATCTCATCAACCCTGTGAGACCATAAGATCTTGGAGAGGAAATTCCATTATCTTATTTTTCCTTCTGCATTCTTCATAGTAGCTAAGCATGATGCGTCACACACTGGAGATTCAGAAGAGGATGTGGAACAAGGGAGACCACCGCTGATAACAGATGGATCCTGGCTGAAAGCAAAGAATACCAGGAAGATGTTTACCTGCGCTTTATTGACTATGCGAAGGCATTAGACTGTGTGGATCATAACAAATTACGGATAACACTGCAAAGAATAGGAATTCCAGAACATTTAACTGTGCTCATGAGGAACCTGTACATAGACTAAGAGGGAGTTGTTCGAACAGAACAAGGGGATACTGCGTTCTTTAAAGTAAGGAAAGGTGTGCGTCAGGGTTGTATCCTTTCACCATACTTATTCAATCTGTATGCTGAGCAAATACTCCAAGAAGCTGGACTATATGAAGAAGAATGGGGCATCGCGATTGGAGGAAGACTCATTAAGAACCTGTGTTACTGGGCGGAGGGCTGTGGAGACCATGGTCTTGGAGAACATCTAGCTCATTTGGCATAACGCAGCTTATAAAGACAATGTTCTACATTCTACCTTGGTGAATAGTGTCTGGGGTCTTAAAAGCCTGTGAGTGGCCATCTAAGATACTCCACTGGTCTCATCCCTTCAGGAGGAAGGGAGAATGAAGAGAACAGGATACAAGGATAAGATCAGTCCGAAGGACTAATTGTCCACAGCTACCAAGGCCTCCACCAGACTGAGTCCAGTACAGCTAGATGGTGCCCGGCTACCACCACTGACTGCTCTGACCAGGATCACAACAGAGGGTTCTGGACAGAGCTGGAGAAGGATGCAGAACATAATTCTAACTCACAAAAAAAAGACCAGATTTACTGGCCTAAAGGAGACTGGAGAAACCCTGAGAATATGGCCCCCAGACACCCTTTTAGCTCAGTGGTGACGTTATCTCCAAGGTTCACCATTCAGCCTGGGAGTGGACAGCCCCGTAAAACCAAATGAGACTAACAAGGTACAACAGTCCAGTGACAAGGGCCAGATGGCAGAAGGGGACAAAGAAGCTGGTGATAGGGAACCCAAGGTTGAGTAAGGATATTGTTGTGTTGTGAGATTGTTAACCATTGTCATAGGGCAACATCTGTAGTAACTGTCAAATGAGAAACTATTTTGTTCCGTAAGCCTTCATCTTAAGTGAGAATAACAGCACAATTGGAAGAGCGTAGTCAATGTCACTGAACTGTGCATGTAGAAATTTTTGAAATGGTGTATCTTTGGCTATGTGTATTTTCACCAAAAAAAAAAAAGGTTGAGAAATTAGAGGGTTGACGTGTTGTGGGATTGTTAACCAATGTCATAAAACAATATGTGTACTACTGTTTCATGAGAAACTATTTGTTCTGTAAGCCTTCACCTGAAGTACAATAAAAAAAAATTTAAAAAAAAAAAAAAAGAACCTGTGTTACACAGATGACACAACCTTGCTTGCTGAAAGTGAAGAGGACTTGAAGCACTTACTGAAGAAGATCAAAGACCACAACCTTCAGTATGGATTACACCTCAACATAAAGAAAACAAAAATCCTCACAATTGGACCAATAAGCAACATTGTGATAAACGGAGAAAAGACTGAAGTTATCAAGGATTTCGTTTCATTTCAATCCACAATCAATGCCCATGGAAGCAGGAGTCAAGAAACCAAACAACACACTGCACTGGGCAAATATGCTGCATGATATCTCTTTAAAGTGTTCAAAAGCAAAGATGTCCCCGTGAAGACTAAGGTGAGCCTGACCCAAGCCATGGTATCTTCAATCGCCTCATATGCATGTGAAAGCTGGACGATGAATAAAGAAGACCAAAGAAGAATTGATGCCTCTGAATTGTGGTGGTGGCAAAGAATATTGAATATACCATGTACTGCCAAAAGAATAAACAAATATGTCTTGGAAGAAGTACAACTAGAATGCTCCTTAGAAGCAAGGATGGTGAGACTTCATCTCATGTACTTTGGACATGTTATCAGGAGGGATCAGTCCCTGGAGAAGGACATCATGCTTGGTAAAGCAGAGGGTCAGCAAAAAAAAGGAAGACCTTCAACGAGATGGACTGACACTGTGCCTGCAACAATGGGCTCAAGCATAACAAAGATCATGAGAATGGCGCAGAACCAGGCAGTGTTTTGCTCTGTTGTACACAGAGAGGGTCGCTATGAGTTGGAAGTGACTCAACGGCACCTAATAACAACAACTAAACAAATACAACTGTAAGGTATGAGTTGAACAAAAAAGTTACTTTATTCAAATATCAAAGCTTTCTTGTTTTTCTGTATATATATATGGAATATATAGCATATACATACTCCCTTAACAATAAGGTATTTATAAGTGAAGGGATGGAATAAGACATTAAAATTTTCTTCAGGTTTAAGACAGACTAGATAAGGGAGCTCCTAAAAATCAAACACTTATGCTCATCAAAAGACTTCACCAAAAGAGTAAAAAGACAACCTACAGACTGGGAAAAAAATTTTGGCTATGACAAATCCGATCAGCATCTAATCTCTAAAATCTATAAGATACTGCAAAGCCTCAATAACAAAAAGACAAATAACCCAATTAAAAAATGGGCAAAGGATATGAACAGGCACTTCACCAAAGAAGATATTCAGGCGGCTAACAGACACATGAAGAAATGCTCAGGATCATTAGCCGTTAGAGAAATGCAAATCAAAACTACAATGAGATACTATCTCACCCCAACAAGGCTAGCATTAATCCAAAAAACACAAAACAATAAATGCTGGAGAGGCTGTGGAGAGACTGGAACACTTATAAACTGTTGGTAGGGATGTTAAATGGTACAACCACTTTGGAAATTGATTTGGCGCTTCCTTAATAAGCTAGAAATAGAAGTACCAAAGGATCCAGCTATCCTGCTCCTTGGAATATATCCTAGAGAAATAAGAGCCGTCACATGAATAGATATATGCACACCCACATTCACTGTAGCACAGTTCATGATAGCAAAAAGACGGAAACAACCTAGGTGCCCATCAAGGACAAATGGATAAACAAATTATGGTATATTTGCACAATGAAATACTACGCAATGATAAAGAACAACGTTGAAGCCGTGAAACGTAACATGGAGGGATCTGGAGGGCATTATGCTGAGTGAATTTAGTCAGTCACAGAAGGACAAATATTATATAAGACCACTATTGTAAAAACTCAAGAAAAGGTTTACACAGAAAAAAACATTCTTTGATGGTTAGGAGGGTGGGGAGGGCGGGGGAGGGTTATTCACTAACTAGATAGTAGACAAGAATTATCTTAGGTGAAGGGAAGTCAGCACAACTGGATTAAACCAAACCTAAGAAGTTTCCTGAATACAATCAAACACTTTGAGGGACAGAGGGGCAGAAGTCTGGGGACCATGCTTTCAGGGGCATCTAGGTCAATTGGCATAACAAAGTTTATTAAGAAAATGTTCTGCATCCTACTTTGGTGAGTGGCATCTGGGGTCTTAAAAGCTAGCAAGTGGCCATCTAAGATGCACCGATGGGTTCCAACCACCTGGAGTAAAGGAGAATGAAGAACATGAAAGACACAAGGAAAGTATTAGCCCAAGAGACAGAAAGGGCCACATAGACCAGAGACTTCATCAGCCTGAGACCAGAAGAACTGGATGGTGCCTGGCTACCACCAATGAATGCCCTGACAGGGAACACAACAGAGAGTCCCTGATGGAGCAGGGGAAGGGTAGGATGCAAAACTCAAATTCTAGTAAAAAGACCAGACCTAATGGTATGACTGTGACTGGAAGAATCCCAGACAGCATGGCCTCCAAACTCTCTGTCAACCCAGAACTAAAACAATTCCCAAGGTCAACTTTTCAGACAAAGATTGGACTGGACTGTGGGACATAAAATGATATTCATGAAGAGCATGCTTCTTAGCTAAAGTAGATACATGAGACTAAATGGGAAGCTTCTGCCCAGAGGTGAGATGAGAAGGTAGAGAGGGTCAGGAGCTGGCTGAATGGACACAGGAAATCAGGGGTGGAAAGGAGGAGTGTGCTGTCACAGTAGAGGGAGAGCAATTAGCGTCACATAACAATGTATGTATAAATTTTTGTATGAGAGACTAACTTGAATTGTAAACTTTTACTTAAACTACAACAATAAAAAAAATTTTTCTTCAGGTTTGCTGATAAAAATGATTTTGGATCCTCAGGAAGTAGGACTAGGTAGCTGTTGCAGTTCTAAATCAGTTGTTTCCCCTCAATCTAGGGTATGTAGAAAACAGAGTCAGAAAGAAGAGAGAGGTGAGAAAGATACCAGTTAAATTCTCCTTTTCCGCCTCGTTGATGGGCAATTGGCTATTTCTACTTGCTGCATGTTTTACAGCTTCCTTCCAAATGTATGATGAGGATGTAAAATACTTGTGGAGCCCTTTCACAAAGGAAAATCTATTATGGTAGTACTGCTAATAGGTTACGAATAAAAAATATAGTTCATTCTTGTTAAATCCTGATAACAACAAAGATCATTCAAACATATTAAGTAGTTTACAACTTACACCAACACAACTTCTGTCCTGGCAGCCTTAGTATTTCAGGACATAGGTCCAAATCTAGAACTAAAAATTCTACTAGAAATAATTATGAGAGAATACTGGCCCCAAAATCATGTGTTATATTCCTGAGCTATGACTCAATATTACTTTAGGCATGGTGATAGAAATTTTAAACATTTTCATAAAGCCATATGTATCGTTTCTTATATAACACATAAAACTAAACATTTCCTCATTCAAAATTTAAATTTTACAGCCAAAATCACAACAAAAGTAAATTGAGAAATTGGAGAATATACAAATAGAAGATAAAATTTCTTATAATGAGCTACAATACAATGAATAGCAACTAGACTGCAATGAAGTTTGATAAGCATAAATAAAAAGGAGCTTGATTAAATAAAACATATGTAGTAAAGAGCTATACTTTATAAAGATATATATGTGGTTTACAAACATATACTTAAGCTATATTTTAATACAGTACCATTAAATGATACAATCATATTATTTCATGATTATTTAACTAATATACCTTTAAAAAGAAAATGTATTTGACATGCACCTAAAATGCAGAAAACCCACATTATGTCTTGTAGAGAGATAGGAACTGGTTATAGCTCTCATAGACTCACTATAAATTCAAGAACTGGTAAAATAACCATTTCTTGATTCAAATTCTTTTAGGGGCAACAAAGAATGATGGCAATTTTTCTGATTTTATGATATCTTGCAGTGATTAAGAGTTTGGCTGCTAACCAAAAGGCTGGCAGTTCAAATCCTCCAGCTGCTTCTTGGAAACCCTATGGGGCAGTTCTACTCTGTCCTATAGGGTCACTATGAGTTGGGACCCACTCGATGGCAACAGATTTGTTGGTTGGTTTGTTTATTTCCCTTCCGGGACAGCTCTTCCCTCTTACCTAAATTCTGCCTATTCTTCAGTGTTTCTTTATAAAGTGTTTTCTATTCATTCCAATCCCCAGTTTTCTTTTTCTCATTTTATGCAATTAATTATACTGCTGTTTTTACACTAATCCCATTTTGGTTAGTATTTTTACCTGATTTCTCATACGTATTTTACCTGTGTTCCCCCACCCGGACTGAAGGACCCTCAAGGGCAAGGGCCATGTTTTATACCGCTTCGTATACTTCACAGCACCCAGGACAGTGCTAGAGCGTCTACTTGCAAAAGATACTCAACCTTCAGAATAACAGTTAAGTCGAAACAGATTTTAAGAGTTTTGAGCATTAAATAAAATAATACAGTTAATGTAATAAAAGGAATAAGACTAAATCCATATAACTGACATAATTTCTCCTGATATATTGAACAGTAAAGTCTAACAGTTTTATATATAGCTGTATTTTCCAGAACTACTGAATGAAATTTAGTGCAACTACTTTTCTAAAAATGTTGGTGAGCAGATTTTTAAAACGTTTTAGTACTAGAAAAGAACTCAGAAATTATCTTTAGTCTACCCTTCTTTTACAGATGAAGAAATTAGGTCTAGTGTTTATTAACTGACTTGCCTTATTAGTTATTTCTAGAATTAGTTCTAGAACCCATGTTTCTTTAATTCCAGACTCGTGCTCCTTGTACACAACCATATTATTTCTTCTGACAAATCTGATATGAAATAATTGACTGTTATAGGTAAATAAACTCAATAACAGCAGTATAACCAAATTATTTAACTAAAATAATTGCCAGTATGAAAAATTAGGCATTGTGAAATCAAACTTTAAACACCAAGTATCCTTACTTAGGCTCAGACATATTCAGATTAGAGGAGCAGGAGAAAGAAACAACTCGGTGAAAACATGAATTATACAATACTAACTTCACAATACTTTAAAACACATGTTTTATTTTTAAATACATATTTTAGAACTAAGGTAATTAGTGGTCAAATAAAAGTCCTAAAGTCCCCAATGAAAAATCACAATATATAATTACAAGGGAGTACAAGAAAGCCATCTATTATCTCCATTTGTTGTCATGTAGATTATTCCATTTAAAGAGCTTAGTTGTAACTAGTTCTCTTAAAACTCTTTCAGGACTGGCAGTATATATAGCTACCATTTACTTTTTGTATTTTGAGGTTCATTGGGAAGCTACCGTCCTACTAACAGCACATGTGGCCACCAGGAAGGGCCCTACGTAACAGTTTGAAATGGAAAAAAACAGGAGTGTGCCACAAATTACTGTTTTTACAGGGTATTGTATGAGGTGATGCTGAATCATTGAATTTTTGGTAGGAAAAACATGAATTCTGAAAATTTTTATTTGGTACACACATGTACCTCTGGACTCTGGAGGTAGAATTTGTGTTCACAGGGGGTATACATATGTACCTCTGGATTCCAAAGGTACGATTTGTGGAATAAGGCATACAACAAAAAACACATTACCTACCAAAAATTTAGACACACTCAATGATTCAGCATGCCCTCCATTACTGAAAACACATAGTATCAACAACAAATTAAAAGGAAAAAATAATTGGGTCATGAAAGGGTTAAGAAGATGTACTATGTCCTTTCCTGCCAGAATTGTCAATAAGGCACAAAGACCTTTTAAAAAAAGAAGCACCACAAACTACTTTTGAATTACCACAAATTCCACTTAGCTAGATCTAAACTAGTGCTTGTACAACAACCTCATATCACAAGACGAAAGTTTACAGACCATTAAAATAAATTAATCTATAAAAATGCTGGCATTTACTTCAATTGGCTAAATCAGAAATACTTCTCCATTGCCGTGCTAAATGGCAGCAATGTTTTCTCGGAAAAGTGTGGTTCCTACCTTATACAGGCGTGACCTAGAGATTTGCAAAACTCCTCAATTGCCAGTGCTTTTGTACCATTCATATTAGAAAGATAGCCAGGGATGAAGATAACTCCTGGACTTTTGCCTTTTAGCTTCTTATAAGCCAGGTTTGGAAGATCTGGTCGATTAAGGAAAGAGAGTGATGTCTTTTGTCTGCAAGCTAAACAAAGTACATGAAATATAAACTATAGTTTGCAAATACAGTATGGTAAACCATAAATATTTTCAGTCTTAACTTTCTTAACTCATCGAGTTGATGTCAAATATTACTTCCATTTAGTAGGAAAAGCAAAACAAGATTTAAAGTACTGAAGTCACGAGTCTGTGCATGAGATCTTTACTTTTAAAACTGTACCAAAATCAGTACCTTCTTTGAGCAAGGTTCAATCTTAGTCTTTCAAAATACACAATGAGGTAGAAATTTCAAGGCAACAAAAGACAGAGCTCATTAATAATGTTTTCCTGTTGCTGCTATATCATGTACCCTCAATCTCATCAATCAACATTCAGAAAGACCTACTCTAGTTTTAGTCCTCTTCATGTGAGATTTTTATCTTTTTTTTTTTTTTTTTTAAATGTTTGGATAGTTCTGCATCCTCCACTTTTGGGGGAAGGAGCAGAAACAAGTTTGGTCTGCTCTTGAAAAATTGTTTCAAAGGCAGAACTGCTGTGACCCTTTTTATTAATGACTCTCATCCCACCTACGAAATCATGGGCCATGGTACCAGTCAATCATAACTCAGTATCAGCTGAAGTGGGTTCAATGAGTAGTTTCTTTACAAATCGCCTTGAACAATATGTAACAGATTCATCTCGGAAAGAGATTTTTCACAGTACTCTACAATCGTTGTGTGTTTTATTTGTTGGTTTGGCTTTCTGTGAACAGTACACACAAATTTTAGTGTAATATGAGTCCAACAGTACAACTGGTGTACCTTATAAAGTACTCTAAGTAAGTTTCATTTTTTTTAGTTTTTTTTTCCCCACCTATAAAATCAATACTTGTTCTTAAAAAAAGAGTATAAAGATTTTTTTTCATGTCATTTATAATCCCACCTTCTCCCTCCAAAGACATCAGATTTATATATTTCCTTACAGTCCTTTTTGGAGCCCTGGTGGTGCAGTGGTTAAGTGATAAGGCTGCTAACTGAAAGGTCAGCAGTTCAAATCCACCAGCCGCTCCTTGGAAACCCTATAGGGCAGTTCTACTCTGTCCTCTAGGGTCACTATGAGTTGGAATGGCAGTGGGGTTTTTAAAAAAAATTGTTTCACAGTCCTTTTTTTTTTTTTTTAATTTTTTTATTGTACTTTATTTAGATGAAGGTTTACAGAACAAAAAGTTTCTCATTTAACAGTGCACATATTGTTTTATGACAATGGTTAACAACCCCATGACACATCCTGTCCCTTCTCAACCTTGGGTTCCCTGTTACCAGCTTTCCTGTCCCCTCCTGCCTTCTAGTCCTTGTCCCTAGACTATTGTGCCCCATTAGTCTCATTTTGTTTTATGGGGCTGTCTAATCTTTGGCTGAATGGTGAACCTCAGGAGTGACCTCATTACTGAGCTAAAAGGGTGTTCAGGGGCCATATTCTCAGAGTTTCTCCAGTCTCTGTCAGGCCAGTAAGTCTGGTTTTTTTTTGTGAGTTAGAATTTTCTTCTACATTTTTCTCCAGCTCTGTCTGGGACCCTGTGTTGTGATCCCAGTCAGAACAGTCAGTGGTGGTAGCTGGGCACCATCAGTCCTTTCTTTTTACTGGACTAGCAAATCGCTTTTTTTATATTAAGTGGAGCCTTCCTCCACTTTTTGTGGTTAACTAAAACTTAGCCCCTTCCACGTGAGCTGCTAAAGTTTTCCCCATTTTGGATTTAAGAAGTTGATTTTTTTTCTTTTTTTAACTTAATTGTAGGCCTTAAAGCTATCCCTTTCACATGTAAAGCTGTTTTAAGGTTACCATGTATACAGAAATATGACAAATTTCAAACTTTTAGTGAAAAACAGGGCTACTAGGGCCAGTTATGATGCATGCATTATAAATGTTGGCAGATTCTACCAGCAAAAACATTCATTTCCCAATTCCCTTAGCTCAGCACTCAAAAAAACCTTCCTGTCTTTTCTAGCTATTACCTCCCAACAAAGGAATTTCCCAAGACAATTACAATTTATTTAATCTCGGTTGTAAGTGGACATACTCTTAACATTATATCCATAAAATATCTTTGTACCATAAGGATTAGTTCAAAGCCTGATGCATAAGTGCTCAAGGAATGTTTGCTAAATAAATGAAGGAGTATTATACTCTAGTTAAGGAAGTGACGTACTTCTCTAGTGGAGACTTATGTATAACACACCTTTGGGTTGTGTACAATTAAATGTAAGTTAATTATAGGAGCCCCGGTGGTGCAATGGTTAAGTGCTTGACTGGTAACCCAAAGGTCGGTGGTTGGAATCCGCCAGCGGCTCCTGAAAGAAAAGACCTGGTGACCCGCTCCCGTAAATATTACAGCCTAGGAAACACTATGGGGCAGTTTTACTCTGTCACACGGGGTCGCTGTAAGTCCAAATCCACTCAATGGCACCTAACAACAAGAATGATTATGTAAGTTTAAAAATATTAACTCAAAACAAAGTGTATCTGAAACGACATGAATTCCCATTCAAAACACCATGCATCTGACAACTGTCAAAATTATATCCTTTTATTTTTTTGCCTAACAGAAAGCCAATAAATAAAAGGACATAATTCAGAACGACAGACTATATGCAACTCGGGGGAAGAGGTAGGGCTCAAACACAAGATAAAAGAAATATTCAAGTTCTCTGGTTTTTGGTCCAAATTCTAGTTTTCTTTGTAGAGGAATGATGTGCTTTCATTGAGTGGGGCATGGAGAAGATAAAACTAGAAATTTGGCTTGACAAGGGCGTCTACACTTGTACAAAGAAAATGTCTCATGCTGTAAGTCACCTCAAGTCAAAGGTCAGGTCTGAACATCCTAACACAGAGTCACGATCTGTAAACTTTAGAACCTGCAGATGAAAAAAAGCAAAAACAGGGCAACGAATCAACCAAACGCATTGAACGCACATGTTAATATTTCCCATTTGGCCCTTAAGGCAGAAGAGGCAGGCAGAGAGCAACTGCTTCTTAAAGCGCCTAGCACAAAAGGCCAGCAAGGAGGGCAGCCCTGGAGGATGTCCCTAACCTGCAGCAGAGTTCTCCTCTGTTGAAAGTGCCTGTAATTGGGGTGCTGAGAAAAGGGGAAGTGCATTTTTGAACAGGGCGCCAAAAACGCACTGGACAGAAAATGACGGAACTTAGGATGTTCGAGAGGACGCGTCCTACTCCTGCCTTTCAGATACTGACCTGGGAGCCACCGTGGCGCCCGTCCGGGCTTCCGTGCAAGTAAGGCGCTGAGGCCTCGGTGGGGGCCGAAAGAGACAGCCGCCCAACCCCAGTTCCAACAAGGTACCCGGGCCGCCATCTTCCCAGCCGCCCCTGCGCCCCACAAAGTCCTCCAGAGAAGGGGGACGTGCACGGGCACGCAGGCTGCGCATGCGTCATCGGCTAGAAGGTGGAACTTGCTAAAGAGCCCCTGTACCATTTTCAGCTTGGGGAGAACGCACATGCGCGGAGGATCGTTGCTCTTTCACCTTTTTGCGCTTGTCATAGAACGTTTTTGCCTGTGACAGCCTGGAGTGCTTTGAGTGGTCCCGAGTGGCTACGTTCTCAGTTGGCTGTTAGATATTCCAGGACAGGAACCGTTCCCCAGCCTTCCTGGATAGGAAACCATCTCCTCTTCCCAGGGACACTGGGGAGCGGAAGCGCACGACGCGGTGACCTCTTGGCTGTCTCAGCGTGCACGGGAAATGCTCCCAGGATCTAACCTAAATCCTGCGTGTTCAAATACCTGGAGTGGAATCCGACACTCGCCGCCGTCTCCCACCACTTTTCCATTTTTTCCGTATGTATATGCCTGAATTTTGAATTATTCTGACTCCTGCCTCATGCTATATACGAAAATAATTTCCAGATACAAGAAGGGTCTCAAAGGAAGAATAAAACAGAGGATTAAAATTAATTTTACGAGATTATTTGTATAGTCTGGGGATGGGAGGGACTCTCTTAAGCAAGGTTTGAAGCCCCAAAATCATAAAGAAAAAAAGGATGTATTTGATGGTATATGAATTTAAATTTTTTGAATGGCAAAAGGTACATTAAGTCAAACGAGAGCCTAGAAAAACAGATTTTATAGCTAGGTAACAAAGTCTTAATACTTCCAATTAAGCCTGTTCCTAGAAATGATAAGAAAAAAATACATAATTACAATAAAATTGGCCAAAGTTTACAAAAGACAATTCATATAAGCAGACATGATGCACAACCTCAGTGATTTAAAAAAAGTGAATTTTTGCACCTATCAGATTGGCAAAAATTAGCCATTATTAGTATTACCAGTTTCCATAGCGTCAATTCCAACCCATGGTGACTCCATGAATAGAACTGGGATCCATAGAGTTTTCGTTGGCTGATTTTTCAAAAACAGATCATGTGATGGTTAAGATTGTGTGTCAACTTGGCTGAGCTATGATTCTCAGTGTTTATATGTGATCACCCCCATGATGGGATCTGCTGCGAGTAGCCAATCAATTGAAAGGGAGTTTCCTTGGGCGAGTCGCCTGCATCCGAATATAAGCAGACGTTCTGGCTTTTGCCCTCTCTGGATCCTGGAACTACCTCCTGTTCATCTGACCTCTGGTTCTTGGGAGTTGAGCTACCAGCTTATCTGCCAATCTTGGGATTCCTCTATCTTGACAGCCTGTGAGCAAGAGCCCTGCTCTCCAACCTGCCAGTCCTGGGTTCACCAGCCCCTGCAGCTATGTGAATAAGGAGAAGCCTCTATCCTGATCCACGGACTTGGGATGTTCCAGCCTCTACAATCACATGTACCATTTCCTTGATGTAAATCTCTCTCTCTCTCTCTCTCTATATATATATACATATATTTATACGCTTTACTGGTTTTGCTTCTCTGGAGAACCCAGCCTAAGACAAATCACCAGGCCTTTCTTCTGAGGTGTCTATGTGGACTTTAACTTTCAAGCTTTTCAGTTAGCATCCTAGTTATTCCCATTACAGCTAGGACTGAAAGAGGCTTCTTGTCCAAGCAATGGCCACAAAGCATTTTGTCGATAAATTGAGAATGAGAGAAGTTGGAAACAGGTAGCAGTTAATAAGAGATGGTAGGCAGGCCGACGGGCTGACAAAGATCTACAGTTTGGGCTGATAAGCCACGGGAGCTCCAGGGATCAAATTAGCCAGGAACCTACTTGACTGACGTATATTACACCAGAGAAGGTACAGGTCTGAGCATTAAAAAACAACACTGCCAAACCAACATAGTAGGGCATTTATCCCTCCTGAGTCACTGGTTTTTTAAACCTAGGTGCTCATCAGTTATTATATGAAGACTTTTAGCTCAACTGCCCTTCCCAGATCTATTGTATAAGAATCTCTTGGCCACAAAAATTACAGGTCAAAGACCTGGAACGGGAGACTTGGAAGAGGCATAGTGAACCTTCTCAGGAGCCTGATGTGTAAGACTGTATTATTGCCAGGACTGAGGAGAGTGACACACATTAAAATCGGCATGGTGGACGGCCATCTTTGATCGGGGCACCATTGTTTCTGACTCTGTGCAAAATCCGACGGGCAAGAGATTTGGTTGCTATGCAACTCATACACTGCCCTTGTTTTCTAAGACGGAGATTAAGTTTCGAGCAGGGCTTCCACCTGTAATTCTTCCCATTTTGGTTATGGTTCCGGTTCACCCATATTTTAAAAATTCAGGTCTGTTCCGGGGTCACTTCCTTGGCCATGATGGAAGTGGGAAGAATCAGTATATAGCCCTGGAGTAAAGCCACTTTACCATCTTGGTCATATATTTTGGAGCAGCGATATGTGCCAAAGTTAAAGGCAAATGTTGGATCCAGAGAAGTCAGTATGTCTCTGGAGTCTTGAGAACCTGTCCAGCTGGACCACAGTGAAAAAGTTGAATAATGGCAAAACACTGAAGAAATCTTTCTTGGCAGGTGTAATGCCAGAAATATATAGCAAGGGCAGCCATCTGATTTCAGGTCATATCCCAAAAGTTGCTGAGCTATTTTGCTAGCTCTCCGTGAAGCCTGTTGTAGATTCCAGAAGGACTAAATCGTGGTGATACCCAGTGCATGTCACCTCACTGTCCTTATATCCTAACAATAAACACTTCGCCCTATAGATTTGGATAATAGCAAATATTCTCAATCATTTCTTTCCCTTTTTTCTCCTTTACTTTTGAAGGTTTCCTGTCATCTTCTGTGCGGCAAAACGAACAATCTGACTTGTCATCATAGTGGGAAAAACATGAAACCCATGAATCATTTTCTCTATCCATAGCTATCAGCCTAACAAATCAGGAAAAATTGTGGCCAAGATGCTTCTACTGACAGTGATGGGCTTGAAGGAGACAAATTTTCTTCTATTCTGGGTACGCTTTCAAGTTTGCCTTCATTAACACACAAAAGGATGAAAGGACATATTGTGGACAGCAGTTTCTCTCTTTGAAATCTGCTACCTTGGTTCAGGGAGACAAATGAGGTCCCCACCAAATAAAGTCTCATAGCTTTACTTCACAGTTGCATCATGTTTATTTTTCTGTTAGACAGAAGGGTAAGTACACATGGTCCTTCAATCCCCAGTAATAAGTGCATCCTTGCAAAAAAGAAACAAAAACAATAAGACTACAAATCATGATGTTAACACAGAACAATCTTTATTTAGATTCTATCATTGATTTTGCTCCATAATGTTACTTACAGGTAACTTCCACCTGAGGGATGAGTTTATTTTTAAATGTGAAATCGGGTCAACATTTTAACCCAAATTCAACATATTTAACACGTGTATTTAAAAGCTTACTACGTCATGCAAGATATAAAGTTAATTAGAATACCTTTACAATTGTGTGAAAATGCAAAGTACAGTATAGAAAAGTCACATCTTTACATTAACCAATAAAATTTTAGTGACTGCATTTTATTCTCTTAGATCACTACAGGGTACAGAAGTGATCTATGGAAAAAATAAAACAGACTGTTAAAATGTCTTCTCCAATTGTAATTTTTGTCCTGCACTTTCAAGTAAAATACTGGTCATCCAGTTGCAAAATCTTATTATTGGCAACATGTATGCAAACTACCCTAAAAATTAAAAAAAAAAAAAAAAAAAAAGAATGGTGCTCAGGCCTGACGAAGAGTTTCTAGAGAGAGACTTCAAATCTAATCATGTCACATTGAACTAGTAAGTAAGGTCATTGTCTTCTACTTCTATTTATTGCCTCCTTTTAGGAAAGAGTACATTCATTCTTACAAACACACACAAGATAAACCAGTGTAAAGGGCATTTGGAAAACCATTATAAAAAGAACTTGCCTGAAGTCATTTTGTTCAACAAAAAATTAATTTAACTCTAAAAACCAAAGGCTAGTTGTGAAGAAATACATAATAAAATGGTACACTACAGACAATGCTAAGCTGAATTTCATTTGCCTTTCGATAGAACTACACCACTCCTGCAAACTGATTGATCTGTTCTTTGGTAGAAACAGAGCTCTGATTTCATACTTATGTCATGTGATACTGCAATTAACAGGTGTGCTCTACAACCAAGAGATCAGACAAGCCAAGGGAAATCAGCTATTGGTTGCTTTTATTCTTAGCACTGGAAAAGGAGAAACCTTTGGCAAAACAAGCTCCTAACACTAAATATTCTTTTTATTTAAAACTGCCCAATATGACAGAATGTTTAAGACTGCTTCTTTCTAAAACACACAGCTTTTTGTTCTTTCTTCTCTTACATAGAATAGTTTGCTGTATGTGTACAGCAGCTTATGCTGGTGGTGACTCTTCAAAGTCAACTTCGTGGGCACCTGATGTGGCATCAAAATTCCAGTTTATAAGGCAGAATGTTTCTAAATGCAGTTAATCACTGGAAACTACTGACGTTAAACAGAAATCAGGCCAAGTGTTTGGCTTTGGTGTGGTCTTCAAAAATTAAGGCAAAATCTCCTCCTAAATATATTCCCCTCCCACCACCCAAGTCTTTACTTATATTTATAAAATCACCTTTAGCAAAATGCGACTTTTTAAAAAGCCAGTTGAATATCAAAATAGTCATGCTAATGTTAATGATTAGGGTGCTAAAGTAATTTTATATTTCCAAATGCATACAGACATTTCTGTAAACTATTTAGTTTGTTTCTCCAAAACCAACAATTGATTGAAAAAAATAAAAAAAGTTTGCAAGAAATATTCCTGTAAGTGATGCTATTTATCAAAATAGTGTTTTCTTTCTCATAGGTGCTTCAATTCTTCTGCTATTTATGATCAAGCTTTGACTTAAAAGCCCTTCTTCCTCTATTATAGATGACTTCTTGTTAATATGAAAACCGTTCTACTTATACACAGTTAAAGCGGTAGGTTTGTTGGGTATTTCCATCTAGGATTGAATATGGCTTCATTCTTGTAAGAGATTATTGCAGTATGCCCTGAAGTGAACTGTTGACCCAATTCACTACAACAAGAAGTGAGTGTAACCTTCTGCCCCAGTAACTATAACATCCATCCAGATCCGCATGGCTTCCGGTGATGGGGCCACCATATAATAGATCCTGTCTTGTGTCTTGACACTAAAAGTGAGTAATGGATTTGGACTCTAAAAATAAAAAAAGAAGAAGAATGTAAAACAAACCTCTTGAAATTAGAACGCTAAATGACATAAGACATATGTGAAGACTTCTTCCTCTTTAAAAATTCCCATTTATAGAAATCAATGTAAGCATTACTTTTTATCTAGTATCACCCATCCTCCAGCCCCCAACACCCTTCTCAGTCTTGACTATCTTTCTGACCTTTCTGCACAAGACATCTTTCAGAGAGTTCCCCAGTCCTCCTAGCAGTCAATAGGTGAAGCTCTAACAGGATACCTGGCTGATAGTAGATGCTCAAAACATAGTAGCTGTTATTCTTAGCCCTAAGAGCCTTCTTCATGATCTGCCTCATAACTATGTACAGGTAGTCCTCGATTTACGACATATTCAAGTTCCAATGAACCGCACTTATGAATGTCCGGTTTTTGTTGTTTTGTTGCTTTTTTTTTCCTTCTGGTACATCTTATTGTTAGTAATATATACTACATATAATATTGTAGTGAGTAATTTGCTGATGTTATCATCCTCAGATGTTCACTTGCAAATGTTCAAAGACAAATAAAGATTGGATTTACAAAGATACTGATAATAAAAGGAAATAACGTAAACTAAAAAAAAAACTATTCGACTTCCGTCAGAACTGACTTATGACAGTCGTTGGAATGTAACCTCATTGTAAGTTGGGGACTACCTGTAGTAGCTTCTTGCTAGAACACTAAAAAGGAGTCTTTCTGCAGAATCCCCCAAACCAATAGGCCCAGAAGATTTCCTCACTTCTCCATGCCTCTTTTTCAGCTATCCCTGGTACTTCTATATTTACTTTTCTGGCACCACTCTGATCGTATCTATCCACTATGCCAGAAAAACAAACCCAAATTGCTTAGAATTCAAAAACATCTTTTCCCCAATTTAACTATGTGTTTAAAATTCTAGGAATATAAAAAATCAATGTTTACCTTATTAGCATTCTTCAGGTGATCATAATACACTTCTTCAATGGCTTGAAAATATATTACTCCTTTTAATTTAGCTTCATGCTTGTCTGCAACGATAGATGAGTGTTAAAATACTTTATCACCACTGATGGGCAGGAAAAATTATAATTTCATTATAATTATCATCATTAAACTATATACCTAGTATTTAAATTATCTAAGATTACTTCAGATAATCTGGGTTAGTGCATTAGCCCCATTCTATACTGAAAAAAGATTAACTCAGCAGCCCCAAACCAAAGGGATTAAGTGACTTTGTCCAAGGCTCTTCAGCAAATTAGCATACAAAAGACAACCCGGAAATACTGACTCTCAGATTAGTACACCAAGTATAAACACTATTGGGCACAATACAAAGTATTTTCCTACATACTCAAAGAATGTCTTTATAATGGATATATTAATATTCAGATCTACTGTAATGAAATTTTAAGTGTTTTTTTTTTTAATTTAAAAATAATATTCTGGTTATATTTTTTTCCTATTAAATTTCTTGTCGAGGATGCTGGTGTTGATTTTTTTCCTATTCACAATAGTTTCATGTAAATAATTTAACACCTTTTCAAGGCAGCATTTTCTATACTGTCTTTCCATTAAAACAGAATAAAACAAAACCAAAAAACAAAAATACCAAACAAGCAAATAAATAGCCCTACTCCATGATCTAATAAGTTCTCAAAATATTTTGCGAGGCAGAGCCAAGATGGCGGACTAGTCAGATGCACTAAGCCATCCTGCTGCAACAAAGACCTGAAAAACCAAGTAAAACAGATACAGACATCAATCCAGGAACCCTGAACCTTAAATGCAGGGATAAAGTATAAGATTGGAAGCCACTGAGAAGAAGAAACTGATAGAAAATGGCAAAGGAGTGGAGATACAGAGTGGAGATTCCCAGCCAAATGGCGTAACTCAGCTTGGCCATCCTGGAATAAAGACAACAACCCCCCCACACAGAAAGGCACCTCCATGGAATTCCCAATAGGAGATGGAGGTATGGTGCAGACACACCCAAAGGTAAGTAAGACCATATTTGCTGGCTGCAGCTCAAGGAGGAGCACAGATTCTTTCACCTAGTAACCAAAGGAGCACACTCCTACAACCCCAACCCCTCTAGGAATAGTGGCAAGAAACGCCCCATCCCAGCAGCCCCAACTTTCGAGAACCACAGTATTAACTCCCTCTATTGCCCTCCTCCATCTAGCCCCCTCTGCCCCTGCCTTTGCCCCCCTCCTGCCTTTCTCCTCAGCCCCACCAGGTGCATCCCAGACCCCTCCCAGCCAGCTTGGCCCCTGAGTTGCCATGCTCTGCAGCCTCAAGGGGAAGCAGCCCGGACCCCCAGACCCCTCCCGGCTGGCTTGGCCCCCGCATTGTTACACTCCATAGCCCTGAGGGGAACTGGCCGGGACCCCCACAACCCTCCCAGCCAGCTTGGGCCCCACACAGCCATGCTCTGCAGCCCTGGGGGGAACTGGCCTGGACGCACATGCCTTCCCTGGCCAGCTTAGCTCCTGTGTCACCATGCTCCACCGCCCTGAGGGGAACCAGCCTGGACCACGAGACCCCTCCCTCCTAACTCAGGCCCCGCCTTGCCACATCCTGTGTCCCTGAGGGGAACCAGCCCAGACCCTTGGTCCTCTTCCTACCAGCTCGGGCCCTGCCTCGCCAGGCCCCATGATCCCAAGGGAAAATGGCCTGCCCTGCCATAGGCCCCACTCCAGCCCCCAGCCCGGACCTGGTTCACGCTGCAAACAACCCATTTCCACCCCTTCCCCTCATACTGGACCTGCCCTGCTGCACCATAACTGAGCGACTGCCCCTAAACACCCGGACAAGGCGGTAACAACTATCGTGACCACAGACAAGTAAACAACAAAGCATGCCCAGCCCACCTGCCCAGATATAACCGAAACAAAAAAGCTGGACAAAACAAACGAATCTACATCAATAAACAAAGAAAATAATACCCTGAATCTCTTGGGCACAGCAGACAGTATCAAAACATATTTAAAAAGAGGACAAGATGGCTCTGGTAAGTGACCAAAATAAAGGACCAGGTGATTTTTTGGCAGAAGAAAAGGCACTGGAACTACCTGATAGAGAATTTAAAAGTCTAATATTCAATGCTCTTCAAGAGATTAAGAAAGGGATCAAGGAAAGTATAGACAAAATCATGGAAAACACAGACAAAACCAACCAAAACAGCTAAAATCAAGGAAAACACAGAAAAAGCAAAGGAAGAATTCAGGAAAAGAATACAAAAACAAAATATAAAAATGAATAAACAATTACAAACCATACAAAAACAGCAACTAGAAGTCCAGAAGATAAACCACAAAATTTCAGAAATGGAAAACACAACAGAAGGGTTTAGGAGCAAATTTAAAACAATGGAAGACAGGATCAGTGAAATTGAAGACAAATCCATCAATGCCATTTTGTTTGAGGAAAAATCAGAGAAAAGAATGAAGAAAACCTAAGAACTATGTGGCATACAATCAAGAGCAAAAATTTGCAAGATATTGGAGTTATAGAACAGGGCAGGGGAGAGAAAAATGGAAAAAACAGAGAGGATCACTGAAGATTTGCTGACAGAAAACTTGCCTAATATTATGAAAGATGAAAAGCTGACCACCCAACTGTGGGGACTATGGTCTTGGGGAACATCTAGCTCAACTGGCATAACACAGTTTATAAAGACAATGTTCTACATTCTACCTTGGTGAATAGTGTCTGCAGCCTTAAAAGCCCGTGAGCAGCCATCTAAGATACTCCATTGGTCTCACCCCTTCGGGAGCAAGGGAGAATGAAGAGAACAGGATACAAGGAAAAGATTAGTCCAAAGGACTAATGGACCACAGCTACCACGGCCTCCACCAGACTGAGTCAAGTACAGCTAGATGGTGCCTGGCTACCACCAATGACTGCTCTGACTCGGATCACAACAGAGTGTCCTGGACAGAACTGGAAAAATATGTAGAACAAAATTCTACCTCACAAAAAAAAAAGACCAGATTTACTGGCCTGACAGACTGTAGAAACCCCGAGAGTATGGCCCCGGACACCCTTTTAGGTCAGTGGTGAAGTCACTCTGGAAGTTCACCATTCACCGGGGATTGAACAGCCTCATAAAACAAAACGGAACTAATGAGACACAGCAGTCCAGGGACAAGGACTAGAAAGCAGGAGGGGACAGGAAATCTGGTGATAGGGAACCCAAGGTTGAGAAGGGGCAGTGTTGACATGTCGTGGGGTTGTTAACCATTGTCATAGGGCAATACATGTACTGTTTAATGAGAAACTATTTGTTCTGTAAACCATCTAAGGTACCAAAAAAAAAAAATTATCTGTGTGAGATCAAATTGACTAACAGCAACTCAAAAGGGTTGATGGGAAGTCTAGCGTGCAGTGAGTTGAAGATAATGGTGATGGACTAATTTGGAAAAGGACAGTAAGAATAGCAGCACAACTGGAAGAATGTAATTGATGTCACTGAATTGTACATGTAGAAACTTTTGAAATGTATTGGCTATGTATCTTTTCACCAAAAAAAGGTCCTCCAAGGTCAAGAAGGGAGAGTGTTGACATGTCGTGGGGTTGTTAACCAATGTCATAAAACAATAAGCGTACTGACTGTTTAATGAGAAACTGTTCTGTAAACCTTCATTTAAAGTATAATAGAAAAAATTAAAAAAAAAAAAAAAAAAAACAGTGACCACCCAAGAAGCTCAATGAAGCCCATATGGGCAGACCCCAAAAGAAAGTCGTCGATACATATCATAATCATACTTACCAAAACCAAAGACAAAGAATCATGAGAGCAGCTTGAGAAAAACAAAAAGTCACATACAAAGGGGAAACAATAAGGCTAAGCTCTGATTATTTGGCAGAAACCATGCAAGCAAGAAGGCAATGGGATGACATATATAAAACCTTGACAGAAAAAGATTGCCAACTAAGAATAACATATCCTGCATAACACTTGCTCAAGTATGATGGTGAAATTAGGACATTTCCAGAAAAAAAGAATTTAAGGGAACTTGTAAAAACCAAACCAAACTTACAAGAATTATTAAAGGGGTCCTTTGGTTAGAGAACCAACAACATCAGACAGCAACCTAAATGTACAACACAGGCCAGTAATCAGATACTGACCTAGGTTATGAACTCTCAAGGATAAAAAAAACTTAAAGACTTAAAACAGGGAACTAGAGATGTCAATTTGTAAATGATGACAATGTTAGAACAATAAAAGGGGGAGTAAACAGTATAGGTATAGAACTTCCAAATGGAGAGGAAGTCAAGGTATCGAGTAATGAAAGACTGGTTCAAACCTAGGAAGATAAGGGAAAATTTCAAGGTAACCACAAAGAAAGTTAGCAAACCTACTCATAAAAATAAAGAAGAAAAGCATAGTTTCAGTAAACAAAAAATACATAATAACAAAATAAATGAAAAAAAATTCCACAAACAAAAAGAACTGAGCACAGAAGAGTAAGAGGAACAAAGAAAACCTCAGCACCACAAAAAAAAGCACTACAAACTGACAGCAATAAACTCACACCTATCGATAATCATACTGAATGTAAACGGCTTAAATGCACCCATAAAGAGACAGAGTGACAGAATGGATTTAAAACCCACTCATCAATATGCTGTCTATAAGAGACACACCTTAGACATAAAGACATAAATATATTAAAAATCAAAGGATGGAAAACTATATCAAACAAACAGCAACCAAAAAAGAGCAGAAGTAACAAAACTAATCTCAGATAAAATAGACTTTAAGGCAAAATACACAATAAAACACAAGGAAGTACATTATATAATGATTAAAGGGGCAATCCAATGACATAACCATACTAAAAATCTATGCACCCAGTGACAGGCCTCCAAAATACATAAAACAAACTCTGACAGCACTGAAAAGAGAAATTGACAGTTCCACAATAATAGTAGGAGACTTCACCACACCACTCTTGGTAAAGGACGTAATATCTGAAAACAAACTCAGCAAAGATACAGAAGATCTAAAGGCCACAAA